CGTCACCTGAAATCCCCTCCTTTGGGGGAGGATGGATTATGTGGGCAAGGGACAGAAATGGATAGCAAGAACGTTGCTATTTGGAGTGCTAGAGAGTTAGTGCAATTGGAAAGAAAAAAAAAAAAAAAAACCACTTGCCAGCCAAGAATGAGGGCCTAACTGCGATTTCTAGCCCCCCACAAAAAGCCAGGCATGGTGGCATTTGTTTACAAACCTACGCAGGTGAAGCTGGGGGGGGGGCATCTCAGGCCCAGCCCTAAGAGCAAGCCCCAGGAGGAACGGTGCAGACCCTCACTTCTGGCTCTCTCGTGCACGCACACGCATGTGCACGTAAGTGTAAATGTACCCCTTCCCACAGCCAGGACCTGGCTGGCAAAGACCCTCTCTGAAACACTGGCCCCTCTTTACTTGAAGCACCCAAAGGACTGTCCCGGGAAAACAGCTCCCATGAAGCTCAGTCCCAGCTGCCATTAACCCATCAGGAAAGCAACCATTAACGCCAGTGGAGGTGAGCGGCTAAGAAGAGCCACCCGGATAAGGAAGGGCAGCTCCCACCTCAAGAGAGGCACAGGGCTTCACAGAGGAAAGAGGAGCCACCCCCATGCAGGAAACTGGGGGGGGGGCTGATTCGGGATGCTGAACACCAGCTACCATCCTCACCGGGTTCTGTTTGGCACAGGCCAGGACAGAGGCCTTCTTTGCCTACCCAGGGTGGCTCTGGGAAGGCGAGGCACCAACAGAGCAAGAAGTCCTTTCTGCTGCAGGTGACTTGTTCAACCATCCAGAGCCACGGATGCTCCCCAGGGGCACAGACAGAGCCCCATGCATCATCATACATCATCTGCTACCCTCTCCTGCGGTTCTCGCTACCCCAGCTAGGCCAGGGCCCTTCTGGGGAAAGGACCTCCCCGACACCCCCAGCAACTGGGCCTATGACTCCATTTTACTCTGAAAGGCAGGGTCCTGGCAGATGTTCCGAGAAGAAAGGAGCAGTCAGGGGTCTGGGTCAGCAGACAAAGAAAGCACTTGCTGTGAGGGCAAGAGTTCGGATCCCATCCTGGGAAGAAGAGGCTGGAGATCCCCAGGGGGAGGAGGCGCGGGGAGGGGGTTAGCTGGTTAGCAAAACTCCAGGTACAGCAAGGGACCCAACTCAGGAAATAAAATAGAAAGACTTCAAGGCAGACACGGTTGTCAGCCCCTGACCTTCACACACATCCAAACACATGTGCATGCCTACTTACACACATAAGTGGAAAACATACACACACTTGCACAAGTCTATGCACACAGGCACAGGCAAAAACCTTTTGGGTAACCCTTTGACATCTCATGGAGCTGTGGGAATCTGCCTTGCCCAGCCTGCCACTGTGGGGCCACCAGCTACTCTCGGGATGTGCTCTGGGAAGGGGAGGGGCCCAGGAAAGTCAAGGACCAAGGACCAAATCTGATTTACGCAGGCTGGGGAGCAGAGTGTTTCCTGGGGAGCGTGGGGGCAGTAGGCATCCCAGGGACTCTGGTGGTGACTTCAAGTCTCAGTCCTTCAATCTACCGGAAGTAGATAGAATATATTCTAGGAGACAGCTAGGTCTTGCATGTTCCCCTTGGTTTGAGCAGGCAGGCCTTTGCGGGAGGGTTTGGAAGGGCTGCAAAGCTGGCCCCCCTGGCCTCAGACAATTCTGCCTTGGGAGGGAAAGGAGAGAAGACTACCTGGTGGAGGATGCTGGGACCAAGACCCATTCGGGCGGGACAATCGAGGGTAAATAGACTGGTGGGCTCAGCTTGGCTCACCTGGGCCCTACATACTAGCTCTCAGTCCATTGGCTCCTGGAGGGCCTGAGATACATCGCTACACTGAGTCTCCTTTCAAAGTTTGTCCTCAAGCAAAACCTCTCTGGGCTCCCCGCCTGCAGCCCCAGGAGAGGCTCTAAAGACAACGCGACTGCCCCCTCCACGCCTTCAGAAACAATGGGCAGACAGCCCATAGAGAACCGGGGAGGCAAGGGTGGAAAATCCCCCAATTTTACAATGTCAACCGCTGAACGAGGGAGCAGCCCGAGGCTGTGCCCCCGTGTGTCCGCCCGCGGGACTGCACTCTCCCGGATGGAGGGGGGGGGTGGATTGATCTCCTGGTTCTCAGACTATGAGGACGCATGGTGGGTAGGGCGTTATGTTAGCTTGCTACAGACCGAAATCTTGATCTTTTCTCCAACAGAAGTACGGGTAAACACTTTTCACTGGGTCATCCCTTCCTACCACTAGCTGTATCCTTTTCTTTTTCCCCCTTATTAGCTCAGAGCTCTCAAGTATGCCTTCAGAGGACAAAGATAGGGACAAAGTATTATCTGAAACACTGCCTCCAGCAGACACTTAGCTGGGCTTCTCCTGTTCATGTGCTCTCCTAGGACTTTGGGGGGAACCCTGGATACCAGGGAGTGACGGGAAATAGCAAGTAGAGCCCTTTCAGAGTGCCAGGCGACAGCTGGACCTCATCGATCGCATTGACAATCCACAGCCAACCCTCAGTGTCACATTTCTGCCAGGTTTCCAGGGGGGGGGGAAAGCCTGCTGAAGCCTAGCTAGCCGGGCTGCCAAAGCCTCACTCCTTGACTTAAGACTCAGGAATAAAAAGATGCACCCACATAGTAAAACCTTCCTTGTAAGAGAGGGCTCCCTGGCGAATGAGGGGTCTCTTCAACCATTTTGGCAAGAATGACGTCTGAATAAACAGTCGGCCTCTCTAGCTAGGTGAGATGCTGTGGATCCTTGAGCCAGAGTGCTAAGGCTGCCGCTGAAGTTTGTCACAGCGACAACCACCCAGACTGGTGCCTTCACGCGGCTTCCGTTTTTTCCATAGGCACAGTCAAGCACAGGCGGTTTTCTCTGGAATGCTCTGGGACCCTCAGTGCCTCTGTCTCTGGCCTGGGGAACAGAGATGAACACAGGCAGGGCAAGGGCAGAACTCTGGAAGGGGAATCACCCCTCAGTTTTCTCTTGTATAGAATGGTTATTAGAGCCTCAGCTTGCAAGGCTTCCTATGGGCTTGGAAATAACGTATCTGCTGTGCCCGGCACCAGAGCAGCCCTTTTTAGGTCTGGGCTGTGTTCTGCAAGTCTGAACTGACTGCCATGTCCACCAAGTCCCGTGCAGGAATACCACTGTGATCATCTACTGATATGGAGAAACTCATCACATTAGTGACCCTGCCCCTAACCAGAAAAAATCATCGCTGGAACAGGCCGTCTTCAGGGTTTCTCTGGGACCAGGGCAGTTCCAACTTATAAATTCAGCTTATAAGATGGCCTGGGGCCAAGGGCCCTGGATCTCACCGAGGGAACCCTTTCCCCAGGATCTATGTTATATGTAATATGTTTAGGCCAAGCACCTATCTGATCATAGTGGTGAGCAAAACTTCATGTTCAGTGTGTGTGTGTGTGTGTAGAGGATAGAGGACAATGGACAACCTTGGATATTGTCCTTTGAGTGGCGCCCACCTTGTTCTTCAATACAGTGTTTCACATTGGCCTGCTGCTCACCAAATAGGGTAGACAGGCTAACTTGCAAGCCCCAGGGATCCGCCGGCTCCCTTCCTCCCTGGAATTGCAGACAAATGCAAGCATGTCGGGCATTTGAAAGGTGGGTCCTGGGTCCTGAACCCAGTCCCCCATTCTTGCATGGCAAACTCTTTACCAACTGAGCTATCTGCCCAGTGTTGGCATGTTCCCGCGGGGTTGGATTTACTCCGGTTCGCCCTTTCTCTCCCTTTCTCTGTTTGCTTGGGGCGGGCGGAGGAGGTCCTGGCTTGACCTTATTTTCAACAGTCTTTTTCGACAGGCAATAAATGCTCTGAACCCCGAGTGCCATCCCCTCCCCCTCTTCCTTTTGATTCACCCCTTGGCAGGGCAGAACTGGAGCATCACCCAGCAGTCATTGTTGATGCGGGGACCCGAACCTGACTGCAGGAGGGCTTCCCGGAGGCCGTGCTGGCCTGCATCCAAACACTAGAGCCCATCCCAGTTGCCCTAGGGCGGGGAATTCTGGACAGTCTATCTCACATCCCACCTCCAGCTGCTCCGGTGGCCTAAGTGTAGCCCGGGGGGGGGGGGGGGTGCAGAGAGTACAGTACTGTCTAGGACGCCTGGAGCCGCTCACTGGCGCCCCCAGCCTGCAGGCTAGGGCCTGGGATCGGGTTGAGGGCCCACGCTGCCCTCCACTGCAGGAAAAAGAACACTGGTCAAGGCTGCAGGTCCTGCCTTACCTCAAAACAAGACAAAACTGTGTTCTGGAGTATGACCAGGATCAAAACAATGCATACCGGAGGAGAGCGACAAAAACAGCTGGTCCTCCGGTCTTTACAGACATTTAGCTTATCTTCACTTGGGGCTTCGGGTCATCGTCCCAACGCCACCAGGGTAATGGGTGAAGTCCATGCCCTCAACCCTTCTTTCCTTCCCACCCTTGCTGGTAGCCCCCAAACCGCATGGTGGTCCCAACTCCTAGCGATTTCCAACTGGGCACTTCAGATCCTTCAGTGTGAAGGTCAAAGCGTCCACCCCACCCCCGGTATTCCCGTGGGAGCGCAGGTGACACCAATGTCCTGAGAAGGCTCCCAAAGCCACGGCCAAGGCCCAAAAGATCCACCCACTCACGAGCTCGGGACAACCCGGTCGCCACCTACAGGCGTGCGAGCTGGAACCCTTTCCCTTTCGGTGGCGATCGGCGCAGACAGAGTGTGAGAGACGCGCGACCCGGCGCCCTGCGCTGGCCCGTGTGCCCCGGCGTCGTCCCCCCCCCCTCCCCAGCCCCCCCCCCAGGGCGCTCCAAAGGCGGAGCGGAGGATCGGAGCGGGCGGCGACGGCAAGAGGCGCCGCGAGGGCGGGCCGGGGGCGGGCCGGGGCGGGGCCGCGACGGACTGCGGAGACGCGGCGGCGCACGGGGCGGCGCAGAGCGTTCTCGGCGCTGGGCTGTGCGGGCGGGTGCGGGCGGTGCGGGCGGGCGCGCGACTGTGGGGCGCTGTGGCGGGGGCCGGGCCGCACGCCAGCCAAGCCGGGCACCGGGGCGGGGAGCAACCACGGCGCCGCGGAGGCCCGGGGCCCGCGACGCTGCGCGCAGCCTGGGCGCCGAGTAGCCGGGCCGGGCCGGAGTGCGGGCGGCGGCGGCGGCGGCGGCGGCGGCGGAGCAGCTGCGCCCCCCGCCCTCCCAGGCCCGGCGCCCGGGCCGCCGGCGATGGTGACACATGCGGCGGCGGCGCGCCGGCGGCAGGACCATGGTTGAGCGCGCCAGCAAGTTCGTGCTGGTGGTGGCGGGCTCGGCGTGCTTCATGCTCATCCTGTACCAGTACGCGGGCCCGGGGCTGAGCCTGGGCGCGCCCGGGGGCCGTGCGCCACCCGACGACCTGGATCTCTTCCCCACGCCGGACCCACATTACGAGAAAAAGTACTACTTCCCGGTGCGCGAGCTGGAGCGCTCGCTGCGCTTCGACATGAAGGGCGACGATGTGATCGTCTTCCTGCACATCCAGAAGACCGGCGGCACCACCTTCGGCCGCCACCTTGTGCAGAACGTGCGCCTCGAGGTGCCCTGCGACTGCCGGCCCGGCCAGAAGAAGTGCACCTGCTATCGGCCCAACCGCCGCGAGACGTGGCTCTTCTCTCGCTTCTCCACCGGCTGGAGCTGCGGGCTGCATGCTGACTGGACCGAACTCACCAACTGTGTGCCCGGGGTGCTAGACCGGCGCGACCCAGCGGGTCTGCGTTCGCCCAGGTGAGCGCCCGCTGCGGGCTAGTGTGATGGCGCGGGGGGAAGAGGGGGTACCCCCAACCCCGGTCCAGATCTGCCCTCCTTGCTCTCTCGGGGCCCCTTCCGATCTGCCGGCTCGTCTGTCCCTGCAGCTGCCACTCCTGACCTCTGATCCCTCTTTTCACCGGCTCCTCTGTGACTCTCTCCTCACCATTGGCCTGGCTGCGCAGTGCCCACACTTCCTCCTGGGTCACGGCCGGCTGCCCTCTGTCCACCCCACCTGCGGTGTGCTGCTGGCTAACTAACCTAAAAGATAAACCTCGGGGACCAAAGGTCCAGCCTTGGATCTAGAGGCAGAAAAACAGGTGTGTGTGTATGTGTGTGTGTGTAGTCCATACCTGTCTAGCGCCGAAAGTGGAGCGAGAGACGTGAGTCCCTCTTCCCCTGCACCTGTGCAGTCTTCGGGCCCTCCGGTGCCTGCCAGCCTGGGGAGGAGCTGCCAGGAAAGGGGTGGGCTCTGCCTGCCGGTGTGTGCAGGTTAGAACAAAGGCCTGTGTGACCCGGGCTGAAGGCGGGGAGAAGGAGGCTCTACCTAGGCACAAAGCCTGTGGTTGGGACTGCCTTCCCTGGAAATCTGTCCACCATCCAGGTTGGAGATAGCCGAGGCAGTTAGGGCTACTTGTGCTGCAAGGCCCTTGAGTTTTCTCCTCGCCTGAGGGCTGGGGTGGGGGCCGGTGGGGTTTGGGGCAGCCCCTCAGGAAGCACTTTGTAAAGTTGAGATCATAGTCCTCTTCCAGTTGGTGTGCACCGGTCCTTCTGGGATCATCACCCCCACCCCTGGAGGGGCCAGGAATTAGGGTTTTTCATGCCTGCCTTTGTTTCTTTTCTGTATCTACTGTAGGACTAAATTTACAGATGAGCTAGGAAATGGGCGGGGACAAGTCTTGACTGATGTTGCTATTTCTTTGGTACTCTTGGGGCAGGCAAGTGCTGGCTTTCTGGTGGGGTTGGGACCTTGCAGGGTTCAGCCAGCCCGGAGCTGTGTTTGGTCCATTTGCCCTACAGCCCCCAGTCCGTTTCCTAAACTGTCAGAATACTAGGACGCCAGAGTTGGCTGATAGGTCTACTTTCTCTTGCCATGCGCACAGCACACCACCCCTAGCAGTTCTCAGTCTCAAAGGTGGTCCAGCACCCTAACCTGGACCCAGAGTCTCCTTCCCAGGCCCTGGAAACTGCTTCCTGTCCATCACTAGCTCTGCTGTGTACGCGTATATGTTGCAGGTACCGGACCCTTGCCATGGTTCAGCCGTGCTACGCTAGGTGGAGCCGGTTCTGGCCATAGCACCTGTCCACCTGTCAATCAATCAAGGCTGTGGGTGCCCAGGCACTGACGGAACCCCAGCAGGGTCCTCTTTGTGTGCAGGATGTGGGACCGGGCGGGGTGGGGGGCATCCTATTTATAGGAGGTTCAGGCAAACTGTGTGTGCTGCTGTTGGAGTGAACCCACCCCCCATGGATGGCATTGGCCGCAGATTGTTACCAGAGTACTCTTCCTGCAGACCTACGATGGGTTCCCAGGGTGAAGGACCCCTGTGCCCCTTGGCTAGACTTGTCCCAGCACAGAGGCTCAGGTGGCCTCCCAGCTGTGAATGAGAGGTGGGGGGAGGGGGTGGCACCAGATGTCTGCATAGGCCTGGATTGCCTGGAAAGGGCCAGGCTGAAAGTACTGTGTGGACTGCTCCCCCCCCCCCAGCCAAGAAGTTGCTGACTCAGCAGCAGCGGATAGGGAGGGGAGGGGCCTCCAGCGCCCTTGGTTCCAGAGCCTCTAAGGGTGCCACCCAGTAGGTGACACTGGGTTCCTCTGTGCCGCTCTCTTCCATCTCGCCCATTTGTTTCTTTTCTAGGCATTGGGTGCCCCCCACCCCCACACGCGCACACTCCCCCCCCACCCCCACCCCCCGCCACCCAAACGAGCTCAGGAGGTTTTTATGCATTGCCGGGCTAGGTTCAGAGCCCTTGATGGCGGGGTGGCTAGCGTTGAGTGGAACTCACTGGCACCCTTGAAGGCTGTTCCCTTTGTGAACTGGATGGGGTAAGCCTTCCTCTTCTCTCTGCCCTCAGCGTTGTGGTAGAGCCTGGACAGATGACCGCCCGTGGCTGCTCTGAACTGGGCACACATTTGGGTGACTGGAGGGGTTGGGCAGGGCTTCCGCTCCCCCTAGGTTTGTAACTTCCTGCCTTGGTTGGGGGACAGGTATGTGAGCAAAGCGTTGGAGGTTTCTGTGGCCTCTGTGTACTGCAGATGTTCCACATCTGCTAGTGTAAGCCTGTGTACTTACAAAACCGGCCTAGAGAGACGTAAGGGTTGCTGGCTGGGCCCGGCACAGATGGAGCTGCCAGGGGTTGGTTGTTACCGGGGACCACCGGCACCCGGACCAGCTCTGGTCCGAGGACGTGTCCACCTGCGTCAGAAAAGCCTTTCTGATAAACACAGCGTGTCTCCGGGGACCAGCGAAGCCTACAGTTGGTAGCTCGTGGCTCCATTTATGACTTCATTAGCAGCCAGGGGTGAGGATGGGAGGTTGGGATGCCATTCTGGGGTGGTACCTAATGGGTCTGGAGCCCTCCAGCGTCCGTTATAGTAAGAGTCCGCCTCTCCTGTGTCCCGTCTGCTGTAGCCCTGCTTTGGGCACACACGTGGGGAGTTGGGAGGCTCCCTTGTTTCGGTTGTGTAAAGAATGAATGCTGAGTAGACTCCGCTCTGTACAGATATTTCACGTAGCTCTGGTCTCCTTTGGAAGATCGTCAGCGTGGAATATCTGAACATTCTGCGGCGCCGCAGAGCATGTGTTAGTCCACCCTTGGGGACACCCACGCTTCGTGTAGTCTAGCCTTTGCCAACTGCCACCTCACCAGGATCACAGTCGAGGTTTTAAAAGTTTTCTTGGGCTAGGAATGTAGCTCAGTTGGTAGAGTGAGAGCCTAGCCTGCAGGAGACCCTAGGTTCTAACCCCGGGACCACACTGAACCAGTCATGGAGGTGTACCTTTGTCACTGCAGAGTGTGGGAACAGGGGGTTAGAAGGTCACTGTCATCCTTGGCTATGTGAGTGAGCCCCAGCACGCACTACGCGAGATCAGGTCTCAAAAACAACAACCAAGTTTTTTGGTTTTTTCCCCTTGTTTTCTATCTTTCCGTCTTTTTCACTTGAAATCTAGGCTACTCTTATTTTAAAAGAACCTATTATTACATTTTTGTGTGAGTGAGTGTGTATGAGAGAGTGTTTTTGTGTGTGTGTGAGAGAGAGAGTGAGTATTGTGTGTGTGGTGTGAGTATGTGTGAGTGTTTGTGTGTCAGAGAACAGCTGTGTAAGTGAGTTCTCTCCTCTACCACATGGATCCAGGGGATCGGGTTTTATGGCAGGCATCTTTTATCTATTGAAGCATCCGTCTTACTGGTTCCCCCCCGAGTGCGTGTTTGTGTGGATTTTTTGTTTGTGTGAGTGAAAGGTACTTATTTAATACAAAGCCCTGCTCTCATACCATTTAGGTGGCACAGCCTTGTAAGGAACAGGACATGGCTGTGTCCTGTCACCCCACCTGCTTCGAGATGTCTACAGCGGGGGTCAGAGGACAGGCTGGGGTGCTGGTCACGGGTAGCTCTTGTCCCTGAGCTGCTGGTGGTGATCTCAGTCTGCCCCATGCCTTGCTGGGAGTTCAGTCTCCAGTGTGATGGCTCTGAGCCTTTAGGAGGGGAGCCTAGGTGAGTTAGTTATTTGGGGAGACCTGAGGGAGGGAGGGAGAGCCATTGCACTTAGTTCCTGAAATACTGAATCTGGGCCTTTCCATGGTTGCTCTGTGGCTTCCTCTCTAACCATGTGATCTCTCTCCTGCACACTGTGTCACCCTGATGTCATCTGTGTTCCACACGGCCCTCACTAAATCTGAGCTGCTGCTGGCATCATGTCCTTGGACCTCTAAGAAGCGAGTTAGTCAGCCTTGGAAAGCTCCCAGCCTCAGGGATTTCATTACAACGATGGAAAAAGTATGAGATAGCCCTCAACACCCCCATAAAGCAGGTGTATGAAGACGGCCCGTTTAAACTCACCAGAGTGCCTGAGACGGAAGGCCCCGGGCAGGGCAGCTCTATGCTATCTGTCCATCTGGAGCCCGGTGCCTCAAACAGCCCTCTGTCTCCTGCCCCAGGGGGAATGACTGTCCCCAGGTAAGAAAGGCAGCCATAGATTCAGGCAGTACAGGCTTTCCAGAAATGTACAGTTTTACAGGGAACCTGAGTCGTCAGGCTTACTAGAAACTAGCCGGCAGCCTTCACCTATAGCAGCTGCAGGGCAGGGATCAAGCATGTTCTCTTGGCTCTGAAAGAGACTGACAAGGTCTGACGACAGTCCATAGCAGCACAGGGAAGCTTCGAGGGGCCTCCCCTGCACGCCACTGTTCTCCAGCGGGGGGGGGGGGGGGGGGGGAGGGTATGGCCAACCTGTCTCTGTCTGTCTGGTACTCTACACACAGAGTAAGGAAGCCTCTGCCCCCTTTTCAGGACCCATCAGTAAAGTGATGTGACATATACTGCTTAGCATCTGTCATCTTACAGGACTGGGTTTTCGTTTCTTGTTTTTGGGTTTTTTGGGGGGGGGGTAGGGGATTTTCTTGTTTTTTGTTTTGTTATGTTATTGTTGTTGGTTTTTGGTCTTTTGGGGAACTCAGTTGCCTTTTCCTGTCCCAAGTAAGACTTTTGTTACTTTGCTTTTATTTTGAAGGGAGAGTGTGTTAGACTGGTGGGGGAGGAGAGGAGTAAGCTCAAGACCCCAGGACAGGCAGGGGTTGTGTAGAGTGCCAGCCAGCCGGGAGGGATGTGGACAGCATCCGACTGGGTGGGAAACCCCCTCCCGTGTGCAGGGTATAACTGGTTCCAGAGAGCCGTTTCCTCTGGTTCCATCTGGTTCCAGATGAATGGGAGCAAAAGAGGTATTTGGAGATAGCCTAAGTAGAGAGAGATAGCCCAGG